CACCTGCCTCAGCCTCCCAAAGTGCTGGGATTACAAGTATGAGCCAGGGCACCTGGCTGATACTTTCTATTAATTGCTTTTCTTCTTGTGTATGAGCCATACACTCTTGTTTCTTTGCATGTCTCATGATTTTGTTGCTGAAAACTGAACATTTTACATAATATAATGTTGTAACTCTGAAAATTATACCTTCCCCTTTCCCAGGGTTTGCTGTTGTTCTCTCTTCTTTTCTTTTTTACTAAATTGACTTTCCTGAACTGATTCTGTAAAGTCTATATTCTTTGTCATGTGTGGCCACCAAGGTTTCTGTTCAGTTTAACGCCCTACTAATGATTGGACAGAAATTTCCTTACATGACTGAAATCAGTAAGCCCCTTGTCAAGGGCGCTCATGGGGGCACATGCTCAATGCTCTAGCAACCTACAACTCTGCCTTAGCCTTCATTTCCTGCTTGCGCAGAGCCTCAAGGTTAGCCAGAGGTGAGAAATCAGGGCTCTCTCAGGTCTTTTCCAGCACCTTCAGTGTGGTTCCCAGGAGTGTTAATAATTTCTCAGTTTCAGTTAACCATGGGCTTTCATACATGTTCTTTTCAATGGCTGTACCACCACCCTGTAAGTTGTGTATTAATTACATCACTTTACAAATGTTGCAGCCAAACCACAGAGAGCTTAAGTAACTTGTCCAAATTCTCACAGTGTGTAATAAGGCAAGAAGCTGGGGCTTGAACCCAAATCTGTATGACCCCAAAGTCTGAATGACACAGAACATTCCCTAGGCTTGCAAACCAGGTCCCTAAACCAGGACACATGCTTTGTGACCCTTACAGACTCAGGAGGGGAATCAGAGGATTCAGGTTCCTCAATTTGTCTCTTTCCCAACCCCTGCCAAGTCCTATACCTAACATGATGTTCCACAGTCCATAACCAGTCTCTGTAAAATTGTGGTGCGGAATTCACTGCCATACCAACATGTTCACAGAAGTGGTTCCAAGTGGATCTGACACATTTTAAGTATTAATTGTGGTATCCCACCACCTCAACTGCTTCTGACACCACACTATGTTTATGCTAACCTTTTCACCCCCAAGAAGGAAATCTGTAATTTATCTTAAAGAAAGATATCTTTAACCTTTTCACTGTAAAATAAACACACATATACAACCACATGAACAAATACATAGCCTAATGAATTATTTCAAGGCCAATATCCCTGTAACTACCACCTAGGTCAAGAAATAGAACTCTGTCATCCCAGAAGCCCCTCATATGCCCCATATCCCAATTACAACTTCCCTCCTCCCGCAAAAATTAATGACTATCCAAATTTTTATAGTAATTCCTTGCACTTCTTTATAGATAAAAACCCATGTATGTATTCCTAGAACAAATAAGCGGTCTTGTCATTTTATAAATTTTTTAAATTCTGGTGTGTCTTTTAAGTCTCCCATTCCTTTTCTCTTTCCTTACAATTTATCTACTAAAGAACCCGGGGAGCTTGACTTGTAAAATCTCCCAGTCTGGATTTTGCTGAGTTCATGCTCATGGTACATACAGTTCAGCATATCCCTCTGTCCTCCATATTTCCTGATCTCCTGGGCAAGATTAGAGGTGCTGTTCTTTTATAGATGGAACATAATTTCTGGTTGTCTCTTTTTATGATGGTAGCAGACATTGATAGTCAGTGCCTAGATCAATTACTTCGTAGGGTATTGAAAAACTATAATATTATATCATTTCTTTTTTATTTATTAAGGGGGACACATCTATAAAAAGATGTTTCCCCTCACCTACTATATGCTTACTCAGTACTGCAATTTACATAAGGTCAGTAATGCTTGATTCTTTCCCTGAATTTAGTAATTATCAAGATAAAGGATTAGTTCCTTATCATCCTCCAAAAGTGGACAGTTTATTTTGGGGTATCTTATAACCTCATAGATTATTTGATGAGTTCCAATACATGGTAATTATTCTTCTTATTGGAGCTCAAACTATCCCATCTTTGACCAGTAGGAAGCTCTTCACATAGTCTCCTAAGCCTTTTGACATGGCGGCCCCAGTAGTCTCTGATAGCTTCCTCGCTATGTCTATGAAAAGATAATCCTGGTTCATCTGGTATACCTCCTGCCCTAGACCTGGAATTGGTTATTTATCAAAGAAGTTCCTGGTTCTCTCTTCCATGAGTATCCTGGTGCTTAAGAATACAGGGGATGACAGAAATAAACTGTCCTGTAATTACTCAGTTGTTCTATCTTGTATTACACACATACAAGTCTCAGAATAACATTACTACTAGTATTCCCATTAAATTGATTACTGAAAATTATTTTAAAACTTTTTATATTGGTTTTCCCCATGGTCTCCCATGTTTTAATCATACTCTATCTTCACTGTCAGAAGATACATTCATTATATACTATATTCTCTCTGTTAAACCACAATTAGTATCAGTTCCACAAATAACTACATACTTAATGCTCATCTTCGGTCCTAATGTTGATGCTTCTCTAGTCATTTTGGTTTGCTGAAACTTATTATTTAGTAAATTATTGAGGAAGGGCTCATAGAAACAATATTCCCCAAGTTTTTGAATATTGATGAATTTGTGTCCTTTATACTCAAAAGTCAGTTTTTCTAATCTAAAACTCTTGGTTCTCATTTTCTTGGCTTAAGTATCTTACATATGTAACTCTATTTTCTTTTGGCATATTATTTTACCATAGCAAAGTTCAATGATAAGTAACTGTCTTCTCCTTATAAGCCACACTGCCCTGATACTTACAGTTTCCTTAAACTCCCCCACTTCCCTTTAAAATCCAGTAATTTTACTAGAGTAGTTTTGGTGTTTATTGTTCAAAGTCCATATTCTCAGGTATGCAATGTGTGCTCTTTCAACACATAGTTTCAAACCTTTAGTTTCAGGTAACTTTTCTTGGATAGATTTTAGCATCTGTTCTGTTCCTTTGCTTTGTTTCTGTTTTGTTTCAAATTCAGGGGCTCCTATTGTCCTTATCCAGGATTTTTCTTCTCCATCTTCAATGTTCATCATTTTCTCTTGACTCCTTTTCATCTCTTCATTTCTTATTGATTTAAAAAATGTCCTACATTTAATCCTATATTTCTCTTAAGCTATTATCTGTTGCAATTAATTGCTCTTAGTCTATTTTAGTCTTCATTTTTGAAATTTTTCTTTTATTTTTTTATCCATGCAATCCAAGAACTTTTTTTAATTTTTCTTTTATTTCTAATTCTTTCCTCAGTTTTGTCTTTTCACTTCTGTTCTTTCCTATCTTAAATCACTTTCTTCAATATGTGGCTTGTTTTAAAGTCCTACGCTACAGTCTTTCCTGTTTTGTAGGCATGTCATTGTGGTGGGCTCTCATTATCTACAGGTTAAGTATCTCTTATCTGAAATGCTTGGGAACAGAAGTGTTTCCGATTTCAAATTTTTTAGATTTTGGAATATTTGCATTATCTTTACCGGTGGAGCAACTCACATCTGAAAATCTTAAATCCAAAATGCTCCAGTAGTGTCATGTCAGTAGAGCTCTGAATGTTTTGAATTTTGGAGCACTTCAGATTCCAGATTTTCAAATTCAGGATGTTCATCCAGTTTTTCAAATTCAGGATGCTCAACATGTATAAGGGTATTATTCTCTACCTTATTCTCTTTTCTCTTAAAGTAATTTTGTACAAGACTTTATCGCAACCCCTTTTTTTTTTTCTAAAAACACAACTATAGCAGCATCAATCCTTTTCTATTGTGCTGTTCTACATAAAATTGTTTTCTTAAACTTTTAGAAGATAGTATGGTTCTAATCTCACTGAGCTCATTATTCTGCTTTTGTGCTGTTTAAATAACTTGTGAGGTTCCCTGGTTCCATTCCCCTCCTCCCATTTTATCTGAACCTTCTCTTCCTTCATCTCTATGTCTCCAACCTGCTCAGTTTTTATTCCATTTCCAATATTTATCTTGTCTGTGGAATCCTGTCTTTAAACAGAGTTCTGGCTGGTCAGCTTTAAAAGTGCATAGCATCTGCTGCTCTAGCCCCTTCAAAAATTACCAGGAACCTCTTGACCTAGCCCAGTATTGGACAAGGCAATACCTTTTCTGATATCAAATGCTGTTCTCATCATCAGCCCATCACATTTTTAATGAATACATAATAGCATCCCTCTGTTTCTTCCCCCACAAAGCTAATACTATGCAGTTCTTGTGGCTTGTAGTAAGGAAACTAACTAGTTTTGCTGCAAATGCTGCCTATGGGTTCTTGGCTTTGCTATATAGTTGCTCTGGTTTTTTTGGTTGGTTGGTTGCGACAAGGTCTCACTCTGTTGCCCAGGCTAGTGTGCAGTGGTGCAATCACAGCTCACTGCAGCCTCGAACTCCCAGGCTCTCCCACCTTAGCGTCTAGAGTAGCTGAGACTACAGGTGTGCACCACCATGCCCAACTTTTATTTAAACAGAGATGGGGGTCCCACTTTGTTGCCCAGGCTTGCTCTGTTTTTGAGAGGAGATTTCAAGGAGACTTAAAAACCATGTCACTGACCAGTCATGGCGGCTCATGCATGTAATCCCAGCATTTTGAGAGGCCAAGGCAGGTGGATCACTTGAGGTCAGGAGTTCAAGACTAGCCTGGCCAACATGGCAAGACCCCATCTCTACTAAAACTACAAAAATTACCTGGGCGTGCTGATGTGTGCCTATAATCCAAGCTACTTGGGAGGCTGATGCAGGAGAATCTCTTGAACCCGGTAGGCAGAATTTGCACTGAGCCAAGATAGCGCCACTGCACTCCAGCTTAGGTATCAGGACAAGACTCCATCTCAAAAAAAAAATGTCACCACTGATGCTCTTGTCACCCTCTTCCCAGATTTTAGAGTATTTTTAGAATTCTACGAAAAATTTCTAGAAACAAAATACCTTAAAAATCTTACAATGTTTCCAGAAATAAAGCATCTTTCAAAAAAGATTAAAATTGACCCATTTTGTCTGCTTACCTCAAGAAGTCTGAACAAGCGGTACCTGATGTCATAACTGGTCCACAAGGCCGTTAAAAAGGCATTAGATCCGACAGCACAAATCATAATTATCTTAAAGAAATGGCTCGTTATTACTCTCTTTCCAAATGCCTGAAACTCATCATCTTTCCGCCTGTCAAAAAGTTGAATATAAAGTATGGTTATGGCGCTACAGAGCCGGACGCCCAAATAATGCATACCTTTTTGCAGGCACAAGGCTCTGCTTTCTCCCTTCTGTGAATATAAATGTACGTATACTTTTACATAGCAATGAAATGTTGAATAAATGACCACTGAAATACATATGATGATCATGGATACTCTTTCCCCACTCAGTTACTCAGTTCCCTCTCCCTGGACCTCTGAAAAAGAATGGTCACCACTCCTTCTCCAGCAAAACAGTCATCTTCATTTACTCACTCAACAAATCTTTATTGAGTGGCAACTACATATCAAGCAATATAGTAGGCACTGGGAACACAGTGTGAGCAAGACTAAATATTGCCAGTCTACTAAGCAAAACTGATAATCATCAAATATCACCCATACACATGCTCACATAAATAATAAAAAACTGAACACCCCAAGAGAAAATAGGCACACAACCTACTCATGAAATAAATACCAAAGACCAATAAACTTCTCCAGATATGTTCTACAGCAATACTAACCAGGGAGATGCACCATTATTTTTGTTTATAAAATTAGCAAAGACTTGAACATGGTAAGATCTAATGCTGGCAACAGTGTAGTATGATTTAGCACTGTCTAAAACTGCCAGAAGCATGAAAAACAACCAGCTTTTTTGAAAAGCCTTAGAAGCATTCATTCTCTGACCCAAGAGAATACAACCTGAAATGAAATAACTTCAACTAAAAATGTCTCAGCATTATTTCCAGTACTGAGAAGCTTGAAAACAATTTAAACATCTAACAAAAAGGACTCGGTAAATATTTGTGGTATGTCCATCTTGAAATATAGGCACTAAAATATGTCAACACATTTTTCAGGATTTAGAAAAATGTTTACAATCCATTTTATATCGTTTTGTTTTGTGTGCAACAAAACACAAAAACCAAAGATACAAAATTATCTGTTCAAAATTATCTTACCTGTGCAAAAATGGGTAAAAAAAATCAGCAGGAAATATGCCAAAATGTTAAGTGTCTGTCTATGGATGGTGAGGTTACAGACAATTCTTTTTCCTGTTTATTTCCATTTATCTGTGCTTTGCAATTTTTCTCAAAGAGTACATATTACTGTTTCCCATTATATGTTATAAATGAATACATTCTCATAATAGTTAAAAAATATGGAATATATATCCTTTTTTTTTGAGACAGAGTCTCGTTCTGTCACCCAGGCTGGAGTGCGGGGTGGTGCAATCTCAGCTCACTGCAACCTCCACCCCGACAGGTCCAAGCGATCCTCCTAACTCAGCCTCCCAAGTAGCTAGGACTACAGGTGCACACGACCACTCCTGGTTAATTTTTGTATTTTTAGTAGAGATGGGTTTTTGCCTTGTTGGCCAGGCTAGTCTCAAACTCCTGACCTCAGGTGATCCGCCTACCTCGGCAGGCGTGAGCCACCGTACCCGGCCACCACAAAAAAAAAAAGAAAGAAAAGCCTTGAGATTATCTAACAGTCATTAATAAAAAAGGACAAAACTGAGTTAAACTGGTCATGCAAGTCTACAGGGCACATAACAGGATGCCAACCTCACCGATCACAGAAACCAAATTGTGAGGGAAGAGTCTGAGCAAATGCCAACACCCTGCCCTCACACTTCCGCTTGCACATTTCTTAACAGGCAACGAAGATAGAGAATATTTACTTAAATTTCTTGAATGTTGGGCAAAATTCCGTCAGTGTAGTAACCAGTGAACTAGAACTGACTTTCGACAGGCTCTGGTGACGGTGTTGAGACATTTTCCAAATTTCCAACTTTTATTCCTTGCTTTTATCAACCAACAGAAAATCTCTGCTTAGAGATTTTCCTTAGCATCTGGATTCTGAGAGGCAGTGGAGAAGGGTCCACAAAGGGAATCCTTGCTTTATGAGGTCACTCTTGGGCATTCTGTCACTTTACCAGTCTGAGGCTCCTGAAGTGGGGAGCTCCCCAGTGGGTCTATCATGAATTCTCTTTTCCCAAAGAGACTGAGTGTCTCCATTCAACAAAAAGGCTATGGGCATCCACGTTATGCAGAATCATGAGGCTCTGGGTTAAAGGTGGAAGTCACTAGAAACAGACCACACAAAGGCCCTCCCTTCAAGGAGTGCCCCCAGCTGAAGGGGCTGACACAGGTCCTTTGTAATGTGTTAGAAAAAGTTACAGGTCATATAAAGAAGGGAAACAAAAGTTCTCTGGGCTCTAAGGAAAAGAGAACACATCCAGGGCCCAGCACTGGAAACACCTGGAAGGACAAGAAAAGACTGTGATGGGTTTGACTTAGAACAAAAGAAAAATTATAATCCCAGCAACTTGGGAGGCTAAGATAGCAGGATCACTTGAGACCAAGAGTTTGAGATCAGCCTGGGCAACATAGTGAGACCCCCATCTCTAAAAAAAAAAAAAAAAAAAAAGGAAATAAAAATTGCAGCAGTATGTGGTGGCTCACACCTGTAATCCCAGACCTTTGGGAGGCCGAGGTAAGCAGATCATCTGAGGTCAGTAGTTCGAGACTAGCCTGGCCAACATGGTGAAACCCTGTGCCTACTAAAAAATATATAAAAATTAGCTGGGCATGGTGGTGGGTGTCTATAATCCCAGCTACTCAGGAGGCTGAGACAAAAGAATCACTTGAACCCAGGAGGTAGAGATTGCAGTAAGCCAAGATCATGCCATTGCACTCCAGCCTGGGCAACAAGAGCAAAACTCCATCTCAAAAAAACAGAAAAATTAGCCATGGGAGGTTGAGGCAGGAGGATCACTTGAGCCCTGGAGTTCAAGACAAGCCTGGGCAACATAGTGAGACTGTCTCTATAAAAAATAAAAATAAAAATAAATTAAGTGGGTGTGGTGGCATGCACCTGTAGTCCCAACTACCAGGGAGGCTGAGGTGGGAGGATCACTTGAGTCCAGGAGTTGGAGGTTATAATGAGCTGTGATCACATCACTGCACTCCAGCCTACATGAAAGAATGAGACCCTATCTCTTAAAAAAAAAAAAAAGGAGATATTATTATATTACAGAAATCCTGAGTTGGCTAACTGCAGGCATGGAATATGCACATATAAACCACCTAGATAGAATATAAAGAATGAGCCTCTGAGGCAGGGATGTTTTAAGTACAAAAGCGATAGGGATTTTTGCTCTGTTCAACTCTCAAGATTAATATATTTTCCTCACTCACCTTCCCCTAACTCCTTTGGCTTTCAAGACAAATCAACACTGTAAAATCTGGGTAGCCCTATTTTACTGTGTAAAATTTTACTGGGTAGCCCTGGGTGTTGTACTAAATGTTCAGTGGCTAAACTGGAAAATTTCCTGGACAACAAAGTTCTTGGTCCATAAGAAAAGGAGGGAACCACCCCATCGCCTCTGCGGTCCTTGGTGTTCCACAAGTACATATGACCACTTGTGGTAGGAAAATACTTTTATGGGCAACCAATAAACTGAACTGGGAAATAACATCTTATGTACTCATTTTCTCCATTTAAAATCATCAACAGCAAAGTTTTAAGAATCACTGGGATTCATGTACCCATGATTCAAACTTTAGCCCCATCTTCTCCCTCTACATTCATTCGCTCGGGGATCAGCTTCTCCTATAACTCCTGCCACATCCTTTAGTTATATACCCCTAAATGTCTCAGGGCTCCTGCCCAACATCCATCTACAGGAGGCTCCTGGGGCAGCTGCTCCAAGACAGCCCACATCAGTTCTCCATCTGTTTCCACCTGCCCAATGTCACTGTGTCCAATCCCCGAGGGTACACAGAAGGCCCTCAGTAAGCATGTGCTACTGAATATGCAAAATAATGGCATCAGGATCCCTGTGCTCACTCACATAGCTAGGCACAGCAGGATTTCATCTCCAGGAAACTCAGCAGTACACTTTTGTGACTTCCCTCTTTAAGTACCAAAGCATACTTTCACAGAAAAGAGATTTAAAAAGTAAAGAATTCTTTCATGCTGCTTGGAGAGGTGAGGGAAGGTAGTCCAATGAAAGCAACAGAGAAGAGCCCAGTTGTTCTTGGTGGACTATATCAGCACAGCCACAGATGAATGCCTTTTTTCTGAAGCCATTGATGAAGACTTTAGTCTGGAAATGAAACTCCAGCTGGGTGAGTGGAAAGCAACAGGAAATCAGAGGTGACAAGCTGATCCAGGGCCTACTGAAATCATCCCTATCTTCTCATGGATTGGTGGACAGGGCAGGCATCCTGGGATGAGAAGCCCAAGGGCCATCTCCAGTGCCCTTTCAGCAGCAACTCACACTCTGCGTGACCTGGGCAGCACCACGTCAGCCACAGATAGCCGGGGAGAGTCAGAGATTGGCAGGCACAGCAGCTTGGTGACTCTGACATCCTCTGGGCAGTGTCATTCATTTACTAGTCCTGAATAACTGGCATTGAAACACAAAGCTCACATATGATGGCCAAACCCTATTACAGCTCCTGATGTCTCATAGAAAACTCTGCAAAACTGAAAGCTACAGAGTCCAACTTTACAGTATGTTTCTGAATGCTGAATCAGAAAGTGTACAGAGTGCTCCCCACTGGTCCAGTAGTTCAGTACATTAATGGAGGCAAGCTTGTGTCCAAATACAATGTACATGCTGCTGCTTTTTGTCTATAGCAAAAACACAAACAGTCAGGCTTAAGCTATTTATCCCAAGGTTTCCTAAATTCTATCAACGTCAGAAAGTAACTATTATTTTCAGAACTTTCATTAACTTCATTGTAGAAAAGGACATCATCAACCATGTTGGCCCCGGTTTACTATCTGTGGAGGTCATGCATGGGGTCATAGGTCGTCTGTTTAACTCCTCTCCAGCAATCATTTAGAAAGAAAATAGAGGGAAGCCAAAGCTTACCACATCAGAGAAACCACTGCCAACATGCAAAGATTTGGAACAGACGGGAACTCGGGGGCCTCCAACTTTGACAGTGTCTCTTTTAAGTTGAAACGTGAGTTACCGGAAGCAAGTTTGGTGTTTCATTCTGTCAGAATTGACCACCATGAGGATTTCCATGGACTTCAGATACGGGATCTTTGATTCTCTACAGTAAAGTCTTTGAGTTCCAGCAGATGCAGGGACCCTTAATAAAGACCTTATGTCTCACCCTCATATAGGTGATATCTAGCAACTTCATTCTCGGGTCTTCACCACTGTTATCATGAACCACAACCTGCTTTCTCCACTGTGCTACATGTGACACATGTTAACAGAGCCATCAAGTTTAGACTCTCAGACTTCCACTCACAATAGAGGAAAAGGGTTCCGTGTAGGGTATTGTAAAACAAGTTAAATGACACTGCAGGAAGCAAACAAACAAATCCAGAAGGCAAAATGTTCTACAGCACAACTGATCCAGTTTTTACAATAAATAAATTACATGGGGAAATGGGGAAGGAAGAGGAGCTTGCCCCAGATCAAGAGACTAAAGAGACACAACAACCAGCTATAATGAGTGGGCTTCATATAGATCCTGGGTTTGAACCAAACTACTGTCCAAAGACGTTCATGACCTTCAGGACAATTTGATTTTTGCCTAGGTATTAGGTGTACCAAGGAATTATTTTGCTAGGTAAAATAATGGTACTGTAGTTTATACAAGAAAATGACCATATTTTCCATAGACACTTACTGAAGGATATAGGGGTGAAATGATAAGCTATCTGGGATTTGCTTTTAAATAGTTTATCAAAGAAGGAAACAGGGAAAATGAAGCAACTAGGACAAAATCTTGGTAGTTTTTATATCTGGGTGATCAGTATATAAGTTTTCAATGTACTATTCATGTACTTTTGAATATGTTTAAATTTTTTCATGCTTAAAAAATTCACGTAAATCCAGGTGATGATTCTCAAAAGCTAATTTTTAAAAATTAACGTTGAAAATTGAAGCTCTTAACTAAAAATCTTTGGTAATAAAAAGTATAAAAGTCCCAAATCTATACTATAGAAAAGAGCTTATAAAAACATAAAGCTTTGTCTTTTCCTTTGAAAGAATTCTAAGAACACAAGTTCTAGTGCTAAGGGTCTGGATCCCCTGGCACCCAGAGAGCCCAGGTGGCTCTTTTCCCACTTCCTCTCCCTGCACACCGCATGTCCACAGGGCAACTGACCGTACCTGCCTCTCCCTGGCCAGCAAAACTAGCCAGAAACTAGCTTCAGAGAGCTCAGCCTCTGTGCCATGTTCCCGTACATCTCTCAGGTTTGGGGTAAGGATGACACGGAGCGGGGAAGGTTTGCTTGTTGTAACAATGAATGATTTCTCTGGCCTCTAAAGAGATGTGGGTTACAAAGATGATCTGTGTTAATTCCACTACCATGATGCTTCAAGTGACTAACAAATGCTTCTTAGATGGATATATCTGCATCATAATCTCATTAGTACAGTCCTGAATTCCTTCAAAGAACACTCTTATTACAATTTTTAAATAATAGATTACCTGATACTCCTTTTTACATCCATCAGTGATACATGGAGTAGGTAGAGCTCACTACTGAATAATACCCAAGTCGCTTCTAGCTTCAGTGGCTGTAGACCCTCAGTTCAGGAGCCACAACGTGCAAATGATGGGGGGAAAAATGACCCTTAGTTCCTCTTTAACTCACTGTAACAGTAAGTCTTGTATTGCCACTCATTCCTGGAAACCACAGACAAGACACTTGTCCTTTCCTTCAACTCTCTGTTGAAAGAAAAAAGTAAAGAAAACACACCAAGATAGCTCACTCAATTTTTATGACTTGTTTAATCTAATTAATTACTTAAGTAGTAAGAGCAGCTAAAATCAAATTAACTTTAGCTTCATAAGAACTGTTATAGGGCTAGGCGCAGTGGCTCATGCCTATAATTCCAGCACTTTGGGAAGCCAAGGCAAGAAGATCATTTGAGCCCACGCATTCAAGACCAGCCTGGGCAACATAGTGAGACTCCATCTTGTATAATTATTAAAAATATGACACAGTGGTTCACACCTGTAATCCCATTTTGGGAGGCCAAGGCAAGAGAATCACTCGAAGCTGGAAGTTCTAGACCAGCCATGGCCGCATAAGACCCTGTCTCCACAAAAAAGTTTAGAAAATAAACCAGGTGTGGTGGTGCATGCCTGTAGTCGCAGCTACTCAGGATGCTGAGGTGGGGAGATCACTTGCACCTGAGAGGTCAAGGCTACAGTAAGCCATGGTGGCACCACCTCACTCCTGCCTGGGCAATAGAATAAGACCCCGTGTCAAAAAGAAAAAAAACTGTTATAGTGGCTGGGCACAATGCCTCCCCTGCACTTTGGGAGGCAGAGGTGGCAGGCTTGCTTGAGCCCAAGAGTTCAAGGCCAGCCTGGGCAACATGGGAGACCCCATCTCTACAAAAACTTTAAAAATTATTCAGGCATGGTGGCCTATAGTCCCAGCTACTCAGGAGACTGAGGAGGGAGAACTGCTTGAGCCCGGGAGGTTAAGGCTGCAGTGAACCCTTATCCTGCCACTGCACTCCAGCCTAGGTGGCAGAGCAAGACCCTATCTCAAACAAAAGAAGAATTGTTATATAAAGTTAAAACCCACTATTTGTCAAGTTCATAATTCTTTTTCCACCTTACAACTATTCTCCAACACAAAGTATTTGTAAAGTCACCAAAATTGCTTGAATTTCTGGGTTATAAATTCTGTCTGAATACTCTCCATCCCAATTTCTCAAATTTAAGAATGCCACTTCTGGCCGGGCACGGTGGCTCATGTCTGTAATCCCAGCACTTTGGGAGGCTGAAGCAGGCGGATTATGAGATCAGGAGATCGAGACCATCCTGGTCAAGATGGTAAAACCCAGTCTCTATTAAAAATACAAAAATCGGCTGGGTGTGGTGGCACGAGCCTGTAGTCCCATCTATTCAGGAGGCTGAGGCAGCAGAACCACTTGAACCCGGGAGGCGGAAGTTGCAGTTAGCTGAGATTGCGCCATTGCACTCTAGCCTGGGTGACAGTGTGAGACTCTGTCTCAAAAAACAAAAGAATGCCACTTCTCTTTTTGAATATTATTAATATAATAGCTTTTATCTTAGGTATATGATTAGACAGCATGAAAAATACCTCCAGTTCAAGTTTAAATCATTTCATATTTAAGCAATGATTTTACCAAATGTAGTATACAAAGGCAAACCAAATTTACATGACTTAAATTGTTATTTTTCTTTTTTTGCCTCTAGATATGATGCCTTAAGAACAACTCAATTTGTTCAAGTAAATTTCCTTCAGTATACATTGCAGCTAAGATATGTACAAGATTTCACATGGATTTTGGAAGAAATCACACAGAAGCAGCTGCTTTTTCAATAAACTTGGCCAGCTTCACATCTTTTTTGGTCAATTCACCACAGTCATGGGAGGTGAGCGTTATCTGGACCTAAGAAAAAGAAATGCAGTTTTTAAAACTCTGAGCAGCAAATCATGGTTATTTTCCTTTGACAGTTCAGAAGTCAGTCTATTATTCAACATTAATATTTGAGAATGAGGGATTCAATAATTTAGAAAATACTACTTTATGAATAAGCAAAACATTTCCAAACCCCAGTGAACTCCAAGAGCAGTCTACACCAGGCCTGGCTCAACAGTCACCTTGAAATCAACAGTTTTCTCACATCAAGCGGAAACGCAGCTGCCAGAATCTCAAATCTTGTTTCTTTAAATAAAAAGAGACTGAGGTTCCACCTGAACTCCCATTACTTTAATTACACCAACTATTTTCAGGCCACTGAGAAAAACCAAGCTATCAAATGTTGTATCTTAGCAGCAATGTTTAAAAACCACATTTTGGCTGGGCACAGTGGCTCACACCTGTAATCCCAGCACTTTGGGAGGCCAAGGCAGGCGAATCACCTGAGTTCAGGAGTTTGAGACCAGCCTGGCCAACATGGTGAAACCCCATCTGTACTAAAAATTACCCAGGCGTGGTAGTGCATGCTTATGATCCCAGCTACTTGGGAGGCTGAGGCAAGAGAATCACTTGAACCTGGAGGCAGAGGTTTCAGTGAGCTGAGATGGCACCAAGGCACTCCAGCCTGGGCAACAGAGCCAGACTCCATCTCAAAAAAAAAAAAAAATTTCCAAATTACAGAAGTGGGGGTAAGGGATGGAATGCTGTTTCTTGATGAAGTGATTAAAAAAGTAAAAGCAAAATGGCAAGCAAAGAGAAGCAACTAGGAAAGAAAAGTGTAACCTGGTACCAAGGTGCTCTGAATTATTCTAATAAGTCTCATGAGAATTGTGAAATTCTCCTTTTTCAAAGATTTTCACAGAGAAAACTTCATAGAAATCTAGATGGTAAGACATTCCAAATGGCACGACCGTAAAGGCGAGGACACTTCTGGAGGAACAAGGTTCATCTCATTGTGCCCCTCAACACTTTTTAGTCTGCCTTTTGTCTTAAATAAGGTCGGTTCCTACACAGCATACTGAATTTAATAGTTTTCAAAGCACAGTTCTTGAGCAAATGTATTTCAACGAGATAAATAGGGCCGTATCTGAGTTGCTACCACTTCTTTCAATAATTTACCTTAAGTTTTGAAATGTATCAGCATGGCTGATACTCCAGTTTAATTCAGGAGCCTCATTTGGCCCAACTTTCTCATATTAGCTTTAGAAGAACGACAAGGATGAAAATAAAGAGCTTATTCACTGTTCTTAGGAGCAGGCCTGAAAATTTGTTACTAATTTGCAATAATATACAGGGATTCTGAGAGAAAGGATAAGCCTTTCTTAAGCACAATGACATTTAGCTACACAAGATGACAAGGAAGAAAGAAGTTTCTTAAACTCCATAATTAAAGTGATTCCCAAATAAGGCAGTTTAGTTACCTTGTTATATACGTTGAACCATTCTGGGTGATGATTCATCTTCTCTGCTTGTAGGGCAACTCGGGACATAAAGCCAAATGCCTGCATAAGATGAAGTCAAGAGTAATTACTGACATTGTCCTCTACCCTGCGCCTGAGAGATACAACAGAGCAATTCAACCAAATAAAGACATGCAAGGATCCTTAGGGAAGCCGGTGGAAATCCGGTATGAAAGGACTGCTCTCTGCAGGCCCGGGGGCACAGTGCAGCAGGAGTGTGACCTGCTGCTGGATGGTGAAAAACTATCGGGCTCAAGTAAACAAACCAGGGAATTGGTCTCACCCAGTGACCCGTCTGGACTATTTAATTGTCCTCAGGACGAGACTCTACCAAACAGCGCGGGAAAAATTTCCCTTCAGCCCAGTGCTCTGGGTCTCACTACGTGGCTCCAAATATTTAGAGCCACTCTTCTTGCAGCACTGTTCCTTTTGTTTTTAGTGATTGGGTTGCTAACTAAGGCAACCCACAAGACTATGGAAAAAGGTCTCCTGAGGGTGTCTTAAGCAAAAGCACCAGGAGAAATGAACAACATCTCACCACCCAGGCAGGACAGGACCAAATCAAAGCCTGTTGGTACTTAGAGTGAAGCAGAAGCCCGGCTTGCCTGCTTGGGTTCTTCCTGCTACTGCCCCACACTGCCATTTCAAGGTGACAGTGCACCCACCTCAGGGCGCAAGGCAAGCCATGAAATGAGCAGAGGGCTGCAACCCAGTCACACGACGAAGCGTGGACCGTGGGGCTCTGTCTTCATACTGCAAGGGGAGTGGAAACACTTGTTAAGCAGAAGGCAAACTTGTCTTGAGAAGAGGGAAAACTACTCATTTTTTTGTTTATTTTTAATTTTTATAAAGGTAACTGCAAACAATAGGAGAGTGTGTCTCTATTGTTCCAGAATGCAGAAATACTTGGTAAAACTCAGGGTAATGGCACATTAATTCCAAAGTTAAGTGGAATTCACATGGCAATACCCATTACACCCACCTAAATAAATATTTAACTTCATTACCCCAGAAAAACCAATGTGATGCTAGTTGAGCTATGTTTTTTGGATCACCAAATGCTAGTGTGCATTTCCCAGTTACAGAGAGAAATACAGAACAACTCTACATCATTCACTATGGTACCTCTCTTGGAGCCAATTTTATTTGGGATAAAGGTTTCCATGTTGACATTTAAGGCCTAAAGGTTTCCGTATAGGAAAAGGGAGAAAGTTCAAGCAAAATCCATTCAACAACATATGGGATTACCTGTGGAAAAACAATATTCACTCAGCCCTCTGATTTCATAATCCAATTCTCTAGATTATGTGAAAAGAAGGGACAAATCAGGTGTAAAAGCCTGGTTTTTGTTTTTATAGAGACAGGGTCTCACTATATAGCCCAGGCTGGTGGAATGCAGTGGCTATTCACAGGCACAATAATAGCTCACTGCAGCCTCAACGTCCTGAGCTCAAGGGATCTCTCAAGAGATCCTCCTGCCTCAGCCTCCCAAGTAGCCACCACACCCACCCTTGAAAGTGTGTTCTAATTATTCAAACACAGAGTTAACCCACATTAAACAATGTATAAGGAGAATTTCTACACTGCCTATAATGCCTTATTCTTGTATGGCATTAGAAGATGTACAAGACTAGTCAACACCACTGATAGACAGCAACACAACTGTTAAGGGTATGGACTTTTGAGCCAGGGAGTCCTGGATTCAAATCCTGACTCTACCACTTAATTATCATGCAATAACCGTGAGTATCAGTTTTCTTTTTTCTTTTTAAGACAGAGTCTCTCTCTGCTGCCCATGCTGGAGTGCAGTGGGATGATCTCAGCTCACCACAGCCTTTGCCTCCCAGGTTCAAATGATTCTTCTCAGCCTCCTAAATAGCTGGGATTACAGGAGCTCACCACCATGTCCAGCAAACTTTTTAGTACAGACGGGGTTTTACCACATTGGCCAAAATGGTCTCAAACTCCTGGCCTCAAGTGATCTGCCTGCCTCAGCCTCCTAAAGTGCTGGGAATACAGGCGTGAGCCACCATGCCTGGCCCTCTCAGTTTTCTTATCAGTAAAATGGGGATAACAATTTTAAAAGTCATGTGATTACATTCTAATAAACAGTGAGATAGGTATATAAAGGTACTTAGCACAGCACTTGGTATAGAATAAAAGATGAATAATGGCACATACTGCTGTCACTGCTGCTTCTGGCCAAACTACACGAGATAAACCTTACAAAATGCAACGGGCAGTGAAAAGCTCTCCATGGACCTGAGAATCTAAGAGTCTAGTGTTGTCTCCCAGAAGAGTGGCTCTTTCCTTTTTCCAGTTGTCATGAATAGAGACTCGCAAATGTATACCAAACAAGCAGAAAATACACTGTGGTGTAACATCCTAATGCACACTGACTGGGGAAAGCAGCTTAATGGCAAGAAATTATGTGTGCACAGTCACTGCCCAGGTTCTTACACCCTGTGGCCACAATTTCTTTGAACCATGTCATTTTAAAATGTCTAAAGTGATGCCTAGAATTCCTTGCCTTTTCCCATTAGCCAAGTGGATTGAGTGGATGATTGGAAAACAGTTTGAAGTGGTCCTCAAATCTTTGACCACTGGCATGCCATCAGTACACTAGCTAAATCTATTCCATCAAAGATATAAGGCTTGAGAGCAAACACACCCACAGCCTAAGAGGCATACTGATAAAAGGAAAAGCATCTATCTGCCACATCTACATACAATTAAAAAATTGTTAGACACCTCAAAACACCCTCAAATTTGTATTTTCCTCGGCTTTGCATATTTCCCTTCAACTGTCACATAATATTTGCATTTAATAGAATACTACAAAGCCTGATAAACCATTTACACAGGATTTATTCCTAATTCTTCCTTAGGGAAAAGAATACTCAATCTACTCTGGAAGCAAAAAGACAACTCCATAATCCTTCTTCCATGTAACAGAACCAACCAATCCCCAAAATATTTATTTTTAAACCCACAAATTAAAAACATCTATCAAAATACACATTCAAATTAAAGAACTACTCCAAGGAATTTAGATGAGTGGATAAGAGAGAAAAAAGGCAAACCTCAAACTGAAAGTTTGATTATCTGGAATACAATGAAGAAGATACAATGCCAAAAAAGCATTATACAAAAAAGAAGATACAATGCCAAAAAAGCAACTGCTGTTTCTTTCAAAGATTTCTTTTCACAGCCTTAGCTACTTGCTTACCAGGATTCCAGCTGAAATCATAAGGCTCTAAGCTAACTACAAGTCAGGAAAGCTACAAACAGTCAAAAGCTGAATAGACACCACTAACAACCCAGTAAGAGACCCAAGAGGACGGGACCCAGAAAATGGACAAAATGAAATAGAAATCAACAAGAATTTAGAAGAACTAGAAAAGAATAAATGCATAGGACAAAGGAGATCTAACATAAAGATCACTGTTGGCCAGGCACGGTGGCTCACACTTGTAATCCCAGCACTTTGGGAGGCCGAGGCAGGCAGATCACCTGAGGTCAAGAGATCAAGACCCTCTTGGCCAACATGGTGAAACCCCATCTCTAATAAAAATAGAAAAAGTAGCTCGGCATGGTGGCGCACGCCTGTAGTCCCAGTTACTTGGGAGGTTGAGGCAGGAGAATCACTAAAACCTAGGAGACAGAGGTTGCAGCGATCCCAGATCACACCACTGCACTCCAGCCTGGCAACAGAGTGAGACTCCACCTAAAAAAAAAAAAAGATCACTGTTGCTGCTTAACAACAACAAAAAAAGAAAAACGAAACCCAGAAACCAAAAAATTGGAATGTAATTTAAGAAAAGTTTCTATGCACAGAATACTTGGGGATAAGAATTGAAAAAAAAGAAACTAAGTTTTCTAAAAATAAAGGGTTTAAATCTGTAAATTGTAAGAATTCAGTCATATATATATATATCTTCTAGCAGAGTTAAACTTGGAAGATTAAAAAATCTTTTTGGCATCTAATCAAATAGATCAATTCATCTATAAGGATGAAAAGATTCTGGCTGGGCATGGTGGCTCATGCCTGTAAACCCAGCACTTTGGGAGGCAGAGGCGGGTGGATCACTTGAGGTCAGGATTCATGACAAGCCTGGCCATTATGGCAAAACCCCATCTCTACTGAAAACACAAAAATTAGCCAGATGTGGCAGTACACACCTGGACTCCCAGCTACTTAGGAGGCTGAAGCAGGAGAATTGCTTGAACCTGGGAGGCAGAGGTTGCAGTGAGCCAAGATTGCTCCACTGCACTCCAGTCTGGTGACAGAGCAAAACTCTGTCTCAAAAAAATAAGAAAAAATCTGCTGACTTCAAATAGTCACATGTCAACATTCAACATTACAAGTCAGAGGAGCAATGCCTACAGAAACTTTAGGAAATTAAAATTGAAAACCAGTAATTTTATACCCAGCTAAGCTCTAAGAAAACATTTAAAACAACTGCGGGAATTATGGTTACAGAATGGAATGCAAATGTTATAAATTATTAAAGGAGTTTAAAAGAGAAAGGACAACATGAGGGAGGTACATAAAAGTAAACAAAATCTTTGAAAGCTGAGAGATCAAGTTAGAGACATAAGTAAATTTAAATGTGTAAAACCTAAGTACTAAGGCTGGGCACTGTGGTTCATGCCTGTAATCCCAGTGCTTTGGGAGTCCAAGGTGGAAGAATTACTTAAGGCCAGAAGCTCAAGACCAGCTTGGGAAACATAATGAGACCCCATCTCTACAAAAAAATTTTGTAATTAGCTGGGCAGGGTGGTATGCACCTGTAGTCCTAGCTACTTGGGAGGCTGAGGTGGCGGGATCCACTGAGCACAGGGATCTGAGGCTGCAGTGAGCTATGACCATACCCAACTGCACACCAACCTGGGTGACAAAGCAAAACTGTGTATCTGATTAATTAATTAATTAAACATAAGCACTAGAACTGAAAAATAATATAAACTAAAATTAAATAGTGAATGAAAAGTAGGAAAAAACATTATTTCAATGTTGCTTTGTGGGGGGGACCACAAAT